TGAAAAAGCTTTCTGATCCTGATTTGTTCAGTTGAGTTGAGTGAAAACATAGATAGTCATGACCCGCCAACTAGGTAAATGTTACTATGTTCTCGAACAACTTATGCAGAAGGTATCGACCAACGTTTTGAGATTTGCTTGAATATTCGATTAGAATGGCTCAATGAGAAAAACTTGTAGCTAAATTGAAAAATCTATTTTTTTTTTTTTTTTTTAAAATTTATATATGCTGTTACATCTACTACCGTCGAACTTCCGTTAGACAGTCACCGGAAACTTGCCGGAATGTTCAATATCACCGGGAAGTCGCCGGAGTATCACCAGGAAGTCGCCGGAAGTTCACAGGACTATTATGAACTCTAGTGGAAGTCACTGGAATATCCAGAACGTAAGCTGAACGTTAAGAACATCATTAGAGACTCAGCAGAAATATCCATAATATTGCCACAAAAAAAAAAAAAAAAATAAAAAAAAAAAAAAAAAAAAAAAGAATAAATGGAGAAATTAGAGCGAAAAAACATAGCAAAATGTACTCAATATTGATAAACTAAAAGAAAAAAAAAATGTAATGACAAAAAACAAAAACAATGGAAAAAACATATGTTATTTTTCAATTTTTGTAGGATTTAAGCAAATAATCTCCAATATTGATCAAACTGAAAAGCAAGTTTTGAAACTGTAAAATGTTACAGTTTCAGAGCAAAAATTTATTAAGTATTTATTTTTATTAATTAAACTGAAAAACATGTTACAAAACTGCAAAATTTTACAGTTATAAAGAAAGTTATGAAACTACAAAATTTTACAGTTCTAAAGAATTCTATGAAACTGCAAAATTTTACAATTTTAAATTATGATTCATTCCAACACCAAATTTTTACTAGATTCAGTTTAGACTTCCCAATTTATGTTTTTGTCATTTTAGAAAGATTTGTTTTGACAATTTCTTAGTCTAAACAAATCTGATTTTAACCGATGTTTTTCTAGAATCCACTCAAATTCGAACTTAACCTATGTTACTTGGAATCGGATATGCCACATGTTCTAAATTATGATAGAGTAGGAGTAGATGTAAGTTGTGTTTGGATAATGAATTTAAAAATTTAGAAAGAAAAATGAAGATGAACAGAAGGGTTAGCAGAGGTAAGAGAATGAGCAGAATTTGTAGGATAAAAGATTTGGAGTGTTTTATAAAAAATGGAAGGAATAGGAAACAGCCAGTATCGGACCCCCTTTGCGTATCGGAGGTTAAGGACACCGGCGGTCAGTGGATATAAGCGGAGTTACCGTGGTCGTGCACCTTTTAAGGCGGCGTACATTCGCCGACGGTACGTTCAGAATATTCCGCGTTATATTAAAAAGACTAAGAAGGGAATAAGGAAGTTTCAGTTGTACGATGAACAATTAAGGGACGTTAAATTTGATAATAAAGGTGTTGCCAGATTGCTTAATGGTATTGAGTTGGGTAATAAGAGATGTGACCGTCAATCAGACAAGATCGTGGTTAAGAGTATAAAATTAATTGGGAATGTTCAATTGGGACAAGATCCTAAAGACGAAACTGTGGTCCACTACATATTGTTTTTCATCATAAGTGATAATAGTCCGTCAGATTCCGTCCCCACACCTGCAAGATATTTATTGGAGTTGGGGAGGGTAATCCTGAGACCTGGATTGTTGATCCTGACCAGTCCGACTGGTTTCGGAAGCTAAAGAAAATGAGATTCAAGCTCGTTGGTGGCAAGGACAAAGAGTACGTTCGTCACGGGATAGAAGTTGTAGACCGGTTCTTCCCAGTTGATGTTTGAACGGACTACAAAGATACGCTGTTGGAAAATGTTGGAAGTATTCAAAAGGGTGTAATATATTTAGTGGCTACTACTGTCAGTGGAAAGGAATGCAAAATTACTTTAAGGAATCAAATGTCCTTTAAAACTGTTTAGAATTGTAATTTTATGTATTTTATTTCTAATGTTCAGGTTAATGAAGGTGGACGATATAAAAACTGGGGTTGTTGAAGGTGTTTCAACAAGTGATTTCAGTTGTATTGAACTTGTGTTGCCTAATTTATTTTCTTAATTGAGGTTAAGATACAAACAAAAAAGTATTATGGTTGATAAAATATTGATAAAATATTCTTCCCTTTGCGCACCCAATGCTAGTGGGTTGGTCAGAGTAAATATTTATGATCAGAGATTAGACGGTAATGACAGCTTGCAGGCGTGGTTTATTTTCCCAGTGGATTGTCAATGCGAGTTAGTCTATTGTGAGAATGGTTATTATTCAATTAACGACAAACAGGTGCCATGGATGGTGAAGTATCGACTTGAAAATTCGAATATTAAAAAGGGGGTTACGTATTGTAAAATGAAGGGGTATCTGAAGTATTCTACGAGTGACATGCCAGAAGATTCGCAAATGAGGGCCCCCTCTATTGTTGTGTTATCTAAAAAATATACTAATGATAATGTTGATGTTTGGCATTACCCTCCAACGAAGGCTATTCCGATTCTGACACGGACTAAGTCTGTTGGTTTATCGGAGAGGCGAAGAGATTTGTTATTAAGAGGTTTTGGGGAAAGTGGTTCAGTTATTCATGAACGCAGAGGTCGTCTGAGTTTGTCAGAGATTGATGTACGCAGAGGTGGTGATGACACTAGTGATGTTGATCCTGATCCGTCGAGTTCAGAGATTGGTGTTAGCAAAGAGGAAGTTGATCGTAGAGGATCAGTTGTTATGGATGCAGCAGAATTTTCTAATGTTTTATGAGGGAAATATAAATGAAATGCTAAATTATTTCTCCATTTCCCTCACATTTTTTCTTCTCTTTCAAAATCACTCACCAAAATTCATGAGTAAATTTAAAAAAAAAAAAAAACCATTTAATAAAAGTATTTTTTTAATCATGTAGCAACATGTTTGTACGAGCATTATAACTCATTTATGATATTTTGTCATATCAAAACTTCACTCGCTTTAAATTTTAATTCATTATAATTGATTTTTTTTTAACTCCTAAAGAAACTAAAAAAAACATACACTGGACAAAACTTTTGGAATCATTTTGGATTGCTGAGCCTGCTGTGCATGAGCATGTATTCATGTTGTCTAGATCGAAATTGATGAAAATTGGTAATTGTGGGCAAATTTCAGCTCACCTAATTTCGATCGAATCAATAAAATAAAAAAATTGTTTTAGGCTTTGCTAAATGAAACTGAACACCACATTTGCATCTTCTTATGTCTAGGATAACTGAACCTGTATGTCAAAACCACTCACTTCTACATCAGTTTTTTACGTTCCAACCTTGCCACTTCTCTCTTTGTATTTAACGTTTATCTATCACAATTGGGATATGGGAGCTGAAGATAATTTATTACAATTGGGATATTGTGATATGGGAGCTGAAGATAATTTATTACAATTGGGTTATGGTAGCTCAAGATAATTTACTTGATATTAGCAAAATGTGGATAGTTGAGATGTTGAGATATTTGAGTAAATCAAATGGTTGAGACATATGAGTGAATCAAAATAATATGACATGTTTGGGTACGATGTGGATTGAAGGTTAAATTATAATCTTTTTCCTTTGTTAAATAAATGGATAAGGTAAGATAAGGTAAAGTTTGGGTTGCTGAACTAGTTAATTATAAAAATATATATATGCATGATTTACAAGCTATGAACACTCATACTCGTAGAAGTAACCGCTTTTCAAATCATTAGCATTTTAATAGTTTAGATAGGAACCGCCCATTAAACTTTACATTGCTTTAGCGGAGTATTTGCTAAATAATGGTCAAAAGTTTATTTATGAAACCTATGTTTTAGAATTTTTTTTAGACATTTTGTTGTAATAACCAAACCAAACCAAGCCTTAAGTCCCATCAAATGGGATCGGTTACATGAATCCTTCTTCTCCACGCGGCCCTATCAAAGGCCATTTTGTAAGTCAAATTAAGTAGATCCATATCTCTATTTACAACGCTAACCAACGTTAATCTAGGCCTACCACTTCCATCTACCGTTACAGCATCTCATCTCTTCATTACTGCATCTGTTGGTCTCCGTTGAATATGACAAAACCATCTCAATCGATTCTCTCTCAACTTATCTTCTATCGGTGCTACTCCTACCCATTTCCGAATACACTGATTCCTAATTCTGTCTTGTCTAGTCTTGCCACACATCCACCTTAGTATTCTCATCTCAGCCACACTCATCTTATCTATATGTTGTTTCTTGGTTGCCCAATACTCCGTCCCATATAACATCGCTGGACTAATAGCCGTTCTATCAAACTTATCTTTAATTATTTCAATTCACTCACATATCTTACTCCATTTGATTTTTGATTTTTGATTTTTGCTTTCATCAAGTGAACTCTAGGAATAAGTTGGTAAAATCACTCTGTATACTCCTAAAAATTATTTAAGATCATTAACATTCTTGTACACGATTTGAAGATAGTTGAATAGCAAAAAGTGCTCCTTGAACTTATTCTTAAATTTTTTCCAATCTGGAATTTTCTCTAATTTCTGTTGACAGTTCATTTGCAATTTTAATAGTAAAATATAGACAGTGTAACATGTGCATGTTTTCCTAGTCGATTGGCTCTCTGTTATATGATATGATAGTTGAGTATTTGCACTACATGGGTCTTGTTAAGAGTAGAATATCCGTTAATAAATTTAAATTTGTTGGTGCATTCTCTATGAAGGTAGAGTAACTTAGGAACATATAATTATTTAATGCTAGGGTGCCTAAGAGCACCCATTAACAAAAGTCATTTCCTAAGACTATTTGTTGGCTTTGGTTTGCGCTTCTTTCATATGAACCTTATGTTTTCATCAGAAGGTGATCTGATCCTAGTGTTGAAAGAAGCTTCAACAGGTTTACATTTTCCTTGTAAATTTATCTACAAATTGATGCTTGTTTCTATATAATTGCTGCAAAGTGATTGGCATATAAACTATGTTGCAAATGTTTGATGCAGCATGATATTGAAGATGGATTAGCGGCAAGCCCTGAGTGAATGCGTGTCTTCTCTATCTCAGGAAAATGTCATTATTTATGCTTCCAAAATTCTTTTTTATGTCTGTTTTATTCATTTTGAAGTCATTCAGTTCTCATTCACGTATTCGGATATATTTATGTATGCATGCAATTTGTGTTTTGAGTTTTGGGTAATTTGTGTGGAGAGTTTTTGATTTCTATTGTGCTGTGTGAGAGAGAAGAATGCAAGAGAGAAATTAACGCAAACACTATTTGAAAATCTTCACAAAACATTTAACAAGTTGATCATGTGCTCCAATGAGATATAGCAAAGATGTCATTGTAAGCATTTAGGTGATCAGTTGTCTCTGAACCTTCTTGTTCATGTTTTTATGACGTGTTTGTTGCCCTTAACCATCTTTGTTGAAGGTAGAAAAAAAAATTCAATAGACACAAGGGTAGGTCTTATTTGCCTTTGATTTTTCGTGTATGGTTAGACTTTCTCTTCCATTGGCGGTTATAGTTTTAAATTTGAGAACAGTTAGGTGGTTAGCGTCGTTGACTTTGCAGTGGATTCATCTTTGACATTGTCCCAATTTTTAGAACTGCAATTTTTGTGTTGGTTGTGCAACCATTTCATATGCATTTATTTATTGATACATACTATTTGCCCCAGAAACTGCCCTCCATGGACCATGGTGTCATATTTAGAATCCAGGCCCCGTGATTCTAGTGAGGCTTTTGCTTGGTTCCTACTTCTCAATTGAGACCATTAGAATCCAAAAATTGAATATGTACCACCCAATTTTTCTGAGTATTTTTATTTGTGCCTCCCCTGGCTACCACTCTTATATATGTGCCTCCCTTGGCTCCCCTGTTGAGGTCCTATTATAGGACAAGTTTCAATTACATTTTGTTTGAGACTCTAGAAAGAAGTACCCCTTTTAGCTCGACGTTGTCTCTTATGCTTAGTTTCGTCATGGGCTTGAAGAGACACCTAGTGCCTCTAGACCACCTAATAAACTTTTTTTTTATAATAGAACTCAATAAGTTTTTGTCTCATTTAGTTGGGATGATTCTATTCACAATTGTATCTGCAGTAAAATTTCGAGAAAGCCATATTTTTTTTTTTAATCATTTCAACCCAAATTCTCATAAACTTTTATCTATTTCTTTTACAACCCTTCATGTTGATCAAATTAATCATTCATCATTACAAAGTTGTTAATTGTATTAATTGGTTTGCTATGCACATATACAACCCAATGATTTTCTATCATCCAATCTTTAATTGATGCGATTTCTAAGTACTTTACTTTATAATGGATTTTTATTTATTTATTTATTTACTTTCTTTTTCCTTCGTACACTTATTCATCTCAATATTCTTATTTCAAATAAAATAATTTTGTGAACAAATTTTTTTTTTAACCATCCAACATTCAATATCATGCATCATAGTAGGTCTATTTCATCCTTATCATCCTAATTTTACGCATCATATCCTACTCAATTTCTCCATCTTCATGAAAATTTGTCCCAATTTTATGCATCAAAACCTAGTCAATTTTTTATGAAAATTCACATTCATGAAAAGAGAAAAATGTAGACATTAAATAAAGTTTCTTAGCTATGCCTGCTAAATTCCTCCATCCACAAATTTAGTCCATTGACAATCAATTGCTTGTTTCTATTAGGTCCAATGGCATTTAGGGCCCGAAGAACCTAGGCTGGGAATTCCAATGTTCAAACACCCAGTTGTTATCTATGTTTTGTTGGGTCAGCAATTGGATTTATCGGTGTTAAAGTTAAAAAATAAAAATAAAAAACCAACAAAGCAAAAATATGGAGGGAGGATCAAATGCTAAGGATGTTCCTACATGTCATAGTGTCCTACAAATTACAGTTGAGGTGAAATTACAATCTCATGGAAAGTCATAATCTAGTTCCATTCATAAAATTGTAAGCAGAGAATGGAGATTATTTTTTTTTTTTTTTTTTTTTGCAACGAAAGGACACTGAACCTTCCATCAACGTGTATCTCTAAGGATGGGGTATGTCCTACCCCAGACTCGACCTTACTCTCTATATCCATCCCCTATCCTGACCCACCCCCACTTGGTGAAAAAATCTCATCCCTATGCATCCCGGTCCATTTAATTTTATAACTAATATTTTCAATATTGAATTTTAAGAATGTAGGAATGCGGTTTAATAGAGAATCAAATTGCACAAACTTGAAGGTTGATTGCCGTTATTCTAATAAAGAGAAGAGGTGTGGTGGTACATAAAGAACATGGAATATAAGGAGAAAAAAAACACCTAAAAATCTTTTAAGTGATCAAACAACAACACATATATAAATAGAGATACTTTTATAGTACTAAAAATATAATCAGATCCTTACTCACCCGACCCAAACCCATCAAGTTTTTCATTTCACCCCAAACCCAACTCTATTCTATTAAAAAATTCCAAACCTGTTCCATTAGGGTCCGGGATAAAATTGTTCTATTAGGGTCGGAAAGATCGAAGACCCATTGGATCAAGATATTTTTGGCCATCTATCACACATGCTGCAGACCTAGCCAGACATTGAAGATACAACAGCTTCAAACATTCAATGCAACCACTTTGACATGAGACATTTACTGCAATTCTGATACCAAATTGGCAAACAGTTACTGAAACAGAGCGTTATTTTCCCCAAAAGGACAAGACTTTGCAGCAATTATTTGGTGTTTGCTTCTTCAATGCCAAGATGACTCTCATTGTACATCTTCAGTGAGAGAGACAACACTGCATCTCTCTCTCTCTCTCTCTCTCTCTCTCTCTCATCTTATATGCAGTTGTGCTAAGCATGAAGGAAATTTTCAACTTATTTCGTAAACACACAGCTCATGAAGTCAGTATTTTGAAAATACTACTTTACATTTAAAATCATGTTTTGAAAACAAAACAATGACATATATATATATATATATATATTAATCACACTCTTTGAAATTGGGTTCTCAATATGCAACTTGAGTTTTGAAAACACGACTTTACAGAACACGAATTAAGGGTTTTAGGGTGAGGGGGGTTTTAGGGTGACGGCAATATTATCGGACAGCAATCATAACCCAATAAATCAAAGCTATTACTCCCTTTCTACACACTCTAGACCAGGACTCAAATTGACATGTAGCTACGAAAAACACATATCTATCACACAAAATAAATAAATAGATACTAAACTCGTGGGGTTAATGTTGGGCACACAAAGGGATACCTCTACTACAGTTCTGTATCATCAACATCCATCCAAGAAAATTCCTGTCACGAGGCGCCGAAGATTTCTGTTCCAGGTGAAAAAGACTTGAGCATCCCAGATCGTAACTAGTTCGAAGTACCATATGCCAAATAAATGAAATATTCCACTCCACAAAATGAAATAAATATTGGAAATCACATACATTTCATACCACAGGAAAATAACTTACCAACTGAAACTGCATAATTTAGGGTGTAGGACCACCACAAAAAATTTTAAAAAAATAAAATAAAATAGAGATAGAGAAAGAGAGAGGTGCATAAACATCTTTCTACCTGGACAAAAATCAAGACAAAGCAGAGAGACGAGGGATCTAACAATATGCCATCCAACACCCTAGTCATAATAAGGTATTTGCAACACGAGAACAATGGAAATCAATGAAACTCCAATGGGTAGGGTCGACTTGGAACTCTAAAATATGGAATGAAGTTGCACCAGTCGAAGGCGTTTTGAAGCACTAACATGCTAGTCTTCGAAATCATAAAAATATCATCACTAGTTCCAAAATCCATGAATAAAGGTATATGGTGCCTGTTTGGCAGAAATTATTTACAGCTTATTTCAGCTTTCAGCTTAATTTAAGCTATTTTGATGTGTTTGGTTTAGCTTATAGCTTATAACTTATAACTTTGTGGAAGTCAGAAATCAACTTATTCTTTGAGTGGGGCAGGAGATGCTTTAAGAATAAGCTGGAAATCAGCTTAAGCTGAAAGTTATAAGCTATAAGCTGTTTAGGCATAAGCTATAAGCACTTTCCCACAGCTCTACCAAACAGGGCTATGATAAACCCCTGTACCACCCAGCCTGGGGTTGAAGATGTAGGTACGAGTCTCTTCTTCTGCTACCTCACATTGCCACATCATCTCCACATTAGCATCTCCATGTGCGTGGTGACACTTCACATCGTCAGATGACATATAGATCAATAGCACATCTCCACATGCTCCCCTCTATGTTAAGCTATACTAAACAAGGCAAGCGTACGTGGTACCTTTGCGTTCGGCCTAGGCATCAAGGCAAGCCATACCCCAAACTGCTCGTAGCACTCGCTTGGGTCGGCCATGGATCCTCTGCTCGATCATTGCCCTTTCCACCAGTGGATGAGAAGCTCGATGTCTTCATAACCGAGTGTGTTCACTCCTATGGCCTATCCTCATCCATCCAATACTAAGGCACAACTAAGCCCTGCTCACTCTCCGGCATAGCATGCCCATTCTACGACACTTGCTTGACTTCACCTTGGCTTGCCCAGCTGGCTCCACCTAGTACCTTATTCCGAGCAACCTCCTCTAAATTATACGAGTCCCAAAAGACATCCTAATGCTATCAAAACTTACCTAAGTTGGAGAAGTGCCTAGAAACTCCCGTGGGGTAGTAGGTGCCTCAGTCATAAAGCAACTGAGTGGCCACATGACCCCACTCGAGATTAGGATTGATGCTAGAGTCAAGGGTTAATCAAAATGCGTCATCATCCCCTTGCTCCTACACTTTGACCAGTCAGTGCAAGCGTGTGTGCGAGAGAGAGAGAGAGAGAGAGAGAGAGAGAGGGAGAGGACTTCTACAAGGAATAATAAATGCAGTTCTTCTCCCCTCTTCCACCTTCAGTGGTCCCCTGCCATCTCAGTACTTACCATCTTCCCACAAGGCCTCCACTTCACCCACCACATGACCAACTTTCAACAGAAGACTTTTGCAACTGCATAACCTCATAAACAAGGCTCTCTTAACTAAATACTAGCAATGACCGGAACAATTCAAGAACACAACATAAAAACGTACAAGTCTACTTCTTAGCACTAACATGCTCTCTTCCTAAAATCAAGATATAGCTCAATACATGAAAATGTCAATCACTAATCTGACAAATTATGCAACAAGATGTAAGTCCAAAGTCTGAACTAATTGCACAAAAAATTATCAGAATCCAAATAAGTAGTTGAACTCTTATAGCTTTCTAAGTTTCAGTCAATTAGCCAAGTATTTTGAATCTCAGATTTGTTAGTTCGTGTAATCCAAGAAATAATCACTGTTCTTAATCATCACTGCTCTACCCTCAATAAAGCGTCGTGAACTTGAGACACCAAAACCTGCAATACTATCCCTCTACACCAAGTTGTCTAGAGGACTATGATCACTGTAAGTCCAGAGTTGAGCATCCTGCCCTGCAAACACTCTAGCACAGTTCAGACATCCATAGCATCTGCATTATGCCACAAGTCCTTTGCAGCAAATTATTAAAAGTACAAATAATAATGGTGCAGCAATGACATTATGACAAGAAAACCTTTGCTAGAACCAGTAAGCTAGCCACTTTAGATATAAAGCTAGATGCAAAGTACACTGCTCACATAGGCATAAAATATTCATTCAAACCTACAATATTCACATAGAGATGATTAACAAATGTAAAAGACTACAACTCAAACGCTCAAAGCTCTTACAACATTAATCTAGTTGCATCGTGCGCACTCTTACAGCATATGCCCAATATAAAAACAAACTGCAGATGCATTTCATCCATCCATCAGTTTAAGCACAGAAAGGGACAGATTCCACAGTGCATAATCAACCAAGGAACAGCAATTCCATTGCATTTATGAAGCATGATTAGGCTTGATGAAAAACTGCACTCGCATTAAGCTACGTGCAAAACAAAAGTATTTATTGTATGCCTTCCAAAACATGTGCATCTCTCTTCTCCTCAGAAATTGCACTTTCCCTGGAAATCAAAGTACAATTCAAAAAAATTAAGATCGATAAATCAACAAATCGCATGACTCACAGAGATCCAAACATCAGAGGGACAAAGTGCTCATTCAGGCCTAATAACAGTAGATAAAATGAACATGACTAATGGAGTAGCAATCAGGAATGGCAACAAAATTGTGTCTATGTTCTTTTTTGGTTTCTACCTACATCTCTAGGTTCCATTTAACCAAAAAATGCCCACTAATTTTCCACAGAAAGGTTCACTCAAATGGAAAATTTTCAAATAAAAGGCTTAAAATGGAACTCACAATTTCTCCTACAATCATATGCTACACGTTTCAGAAAGTTCTACTGGATCATATAAGGCATGTAGTTCTTCTATTACCACAATATTATAAGCAAATGTGTCCAAATGATGTAAATATAAGACACATTCATAAAGATACTTCTGCCTTATATGCAAGCTCCATAGCAAATTCAACAAAACATTTGTTATCAAGAGTAACTAATTAACGAGGCATCTTGAAACAATAGATGTACACAAAAAAAAAAAAAAAAAAAGTCTTGAAGACCCCACACACAAAAAAAAAAAAGTCTTGAAGACCCATCTATACCATGCACACTATTCATCCAAATCTTATTAATTAAATGGCTTGTGGCAACCATAAGTAACATGTTTATTGATCCAAAACATAGCAATCATATGTTTATCCATAATGCATCAAAACAACCAAAGTTAAAACTACCTCAGCAATGCATTGCTCTTAAAAGGAGTTCATCTCAAGACAATAAGTTCTCCTTTTCACCAGCATCTTCGCAGCCATCCCAAACGGCTCCTCAAAGGCAGCCGAAACCCAACACCCCTCCGACACCTCCTTCTTCACAGCCGACTGCTCACTAGGCCTAATTGCGACCAATGTCGCCCCTTTCAGCACAGTTCCATCAGGCAATTCCAAGTGCGGAGCATACCACAGCCTCATATTCAATGCCGGCACAAGTGTCCGCTTCGAGGCCGATGAAGCTGATAAGGGCTTTACTCTCAACTCCTCCAATTGATCCCTATTCATACACAACACTCCCTGCCCATCGGCATCAGTCAAAACCAAGCTATCTAAAGTCTTATGCTCCGAAATTATGGGCTGAAGCAAATAATGCCTCGCCGAAGCAGCAATCAACGAACTGATTGTCCACACCACTCTCAATTTCAATCCTCCATTCGTGTAAAACGATTCAGGAATACTTCCATTTTCATCTCCACCAGCAATAGCAATAGCATTACCACAAAACCCATCTCCATTGTTATCCAAATTCTTACTTGGGTTAGGGTAAATCACCGAGGAAGCTCCGAGAATCACGCAATTATCGAGGGTCGATCCGAAATCAGCCCTCCATTTCAACAACACACCTTCATCGATACCCAATTCACCACTGGGAAGCTCGATTCGGAGACACCGAATTTCATTGAAATTCTTCAAAACTTGAGTAGGCGAATGATGGGTCACACCACCCTGATCTAGTTCATCATCAGCCGAAGCTCCGGTACCAACCGAAAGCGAAGAAGAAGAAGAAGCCGAGTTCGATCTCTTGGGACCCAAGAACTGGCCTAGAGCCTGGAGTGGCTTGACGATTCCACCGAAAACGAACCGAAACAGGTTCGAGAAAGCTCCGCGAGACTTGTCGGAGGATCCAGAGGTGGAAGAAGCATCGTCGTCGGAGATCACACAGTCGACACGAACAACGACGTTTTCGACCTGAGGGACGAGGGTGTAGAAGCGGCGAGAAATGACGCAGCAGCGACCTAGGGCTTTGACATCGCCGATCTTGTTGAAGATCAGGAGGAGGATCGAATCGGGCAAGAGATCGAAATGGTCGATCTCGTCCGATGATGATGAAGTGTAGGGTTCTGGGTAGACTTTGGTGGTCAGATCTGGACGAACAGAAGACATCTGAACCAATATATATATATATATAGATAATTATGTATACACAACTATATAGAGAGAGAGTGATGGGATTTGAGATCGAGATGGAGTGAGGGAAACCCTAAATTGGGGAATTTCAGAGATGGGAATTGGAAGGGAGAGTTTGGAGAAGAGGCAAAGAAGCGTTTGTTGGGATTAGATCTGATGAGAGAGAGACAGAGAGAGAGAGAGAGAGATGAGGATATAGTGGGTAGGTGAGTGAGAGAGGAGAGAGATTGAAGCCTAATATGGATTGGAGAGAGATGGGTGTTAGGGAAAAGGAGGAGAGAGACAGAGAGAGAGAGAGAGAGAGAGATAATTTGAGATAGACAAAAGAGGAAAGGAGGTTAGCGAAGAGTACTCTGGCGATGGAGTTTGAGCTATGGAGAGAGAGAGAGAGAGAGAAGGAATGGTGGGATGAGATGGATCCACGGTTTTGTCTTACAGAGATGAGAGAGAGGATTTTATGCCCGTACGAAGGGATAATAAAGAGGTGGTGTCGTGTGTGTGTGTGTGTAGAGAGAGAGAGAGAGAGATGAGCGTTCGAGATGAAACGGGATTTGTATGTTGATTTTTCTGAAAAATAATTAACACATTTAGGCCATGTTTGTTATCCCCATCAGCGGTATTGGACAGATAGAGAGGTTGCAACTTTGAAAACATATTCGGCTACGGAAATTTGTGAGTACATTCTTTGTCCAGCTGGATTGGTAATCTCATTGTCCAATCGAATTAACAAAGCTGGAAAAAAATATGAGATTACAAAAATATTGAGAGAATTGAAAAAATAAATATTTTTTTTTGTTATGTTTTTTTTTTCTTAAATTCAAGTGTAGTCTATTATTTGTAAAAATATAAATATATTTTTTTTTATTTTATATAAAAATAATTTAATAATTTCATCACTAATCATCTTTCTCACTATTATCAAGACAAACACACTTTTACTTAAACGGTACTTATGTATAGATCCTAATTAGTAGACTCTAATAGGTTCTATGAGAAAAATTTGTCATAAAAAAAGTCACTAATTGTAAGTTTTAGCGACAATTTATAAAAATCATGAAGTCATTAATTATTAATTTTTAGCAATATATATAAAAATAAAAAATTGTCAAAAAAATTATTTTTAGTAATAATTTTGCCAATACTTATTTTCAATAGGATTTGATGGGAATTAAGTCCAACTATTAGAACCTATGGATAGTTTATCCTTTACTACTTTTTATCCTTGGCAAAACACTTAAGTGCTTGCATTCCCTTGATTCAATCCCCTAAAGAGAATTGAACTCATGACTTCCTTGACACTAAGTTTTAAGGAAGACATGGTGGCCAACTAGGCTAGGCCTAGTTGGTTATCATTTATCACTTAATCTTCTCACTAACAATCTCTTCACTAACTATCTTTTCACTAATAATCACATTCAACCTAATTTTCCAAATAAACGTGGCCTTAGGACTCGTTTGGGAACAGGCTAATTTAGTAACTTTTTGGCTATTTGGCTAAAATATGAGATAGAAAAAACTAGTATGTTTGAGATGACTTTTTGACTTTTTATGAAAAGATATGCAAAAAGTAGAGAGAAGAGAGAATCTTTGACTTTTTGGTATGAGTTGTTGGTTTTTTGGCTAATTTAGTAACTTTTTGACTTTTTAGCTAAAATGGAAGGTTCCCAAACGAGGTCTTAGTAAAAATATTAGTACTCACGTCTAACAAGATAGACCATTTACATGGTGTGAGTACTAATCACTGTGTTTGGTTTCAATTTTGAAAATTCAGTTTTTCGAAAAATTTTAGTGAACATTTTTAAAATTTTAAGAAATTTTTTTACTTTTTTAGATGCATCTTACTTAGATATATCTAAATAGTAAAATATTTGTAAATAAATATTTTAAAAAATTAATAAATACAAAAAAATATAAAAAATATACTAAAAAATATACTAAATATACTAAATACAAAAAAATTTACTTTTTTCATATTTTGTTTGCATTTTTGGTATTTAGTAAATTTTTTAAAGATTTTTTTCACAAATATTATAATTTTTATGTGTATTTATGTTAGATGTATCTAAAAATTAAAAAAATTACTTAAAATGTTTTAAAAAATCATTGAAAACAAAAAAACAAGGAAAATAAAAAAGTAAAATTTTCTAAAAAATATTTTTTGGAAATCAAAACCAAACAAGTTGAATATTTTTATCAATATGAGATTTAGATGGTGTGAGTTTCACATTTATATGAGATATTTAGTATAAATATTAGTAAAATATTTGAGATTTTTAGTATTTTTTTATTTTTTATTTTTTATTTTTTTGACGCTGCTTAAGTGGTATTTTGAGAAGTATATTTTTTTGACTTTTTTTAAATTAATTTTTGTTTTTAGTACATTTTTTTAACTTTTTTTTTTAAAAAAATTAGGTTTCTAAATTCAGCCCGATAAGAATCAGAAAATTATAATTTTTTAAAAAAAATTTAAAAAAAATAGAAAAGACAAAAATAAGCTAAAATAAGTAATTTTTTTGACTTATTTTCGCCTTTAATGATTTTTTTATGAAATTTTTCAAAAAAAATATATTTTTTAGATTCGTCTCGACAAGACATATAAGAAAAAAATTTAAAAAAATTGTCATAATTTTTTTAAAAAAATAACTAAAAAGAAAAAACAAAAACAAAAAAAAGAAAAAGATGTGGTTTTTTGGGGGGCCAAAATGGGCCTAAATTTATTGTGTGAACCCCCCACAAAATTGAAATTAATTGGACCAGGGTTTTAACTCTCACCTTACTTGGAAAGTTAACTATTTTTATTGGTTATTTAGCTTTGCTAAAATAAAGGGTGTTTGGGAAGAAATTTTTTTGCTTTTTTGGGTTAAAATAGCATACTAAAAGATAAAATATATTAAAATAGTTAATAAGACAAAATATCACATCAAATTCATAATTATTTTACTTTTTCTTTCACAAAGATCACATCCAATTACAAAAAAATCAAATACCCTTCCCTAACACAACTATTTTAGCCCACTAAAATAGCCAACTTCATAGTTTATTTTTTTTTTTTTTAGTTGATTTGATAATTGTGAGAGAAAAAATAAAATAATTATGAGTTGGATATGACATTTTATTTTATTAACTATTTTAATATATTTTGTCTTTATTGACTATTTTAACCAAAAAAACTAAAAAAATAACTTGCCAAACAGTGCCACTCTCGCTAAGTTCAGGACATCTCTCTCTAACGTCCCTCCCTAAGTCTTTTACTAGGTGTGTCGCCAAGGATGGGAAGGGGTTCCGACCGTTGGCCTTTTCTCTCCTCCTTCCACTTTTATTTTTTATTTTTATTTTTTAATAATATTGGAAGCTTGTTCTTTCAACCCTTTTCAACACCACCATCACTACACCACGTCACCACCAGATTTGCCATCTGCCTACCTTCATGGATCCACCTTGTCACGCCCCCATTGCGCCCATAGTAGAATGGTGCCATAATGGCTAGTAATCTGAGATTACCAAAGGCCAACTTACAAAGTTTCACACAATCAGAGTATACATATGGAGCTTACATGTGCGGAAGTAATAAATTTAAATCTAAGTAGTCCATAAGAGCTGTACATAGATCTAATGAAATGTCATGCATCTTAATCATGGTTTTACACCTCAAATACAAGACAAAGTAAAGTACATATTACACAACCCAAACCCTTATGTGAAACACCACTATAAATCTAAAATTCCTTATTACCTGACGGTAGTACAAGAATCGGTGTTGTGACTAGCCTCTTCTTTAGCTCTTGGAAAGCTGATTCTCTATCCTCGGTCCATTCATATGCCACTCCCTTCTGAGTCAATTGTGTCAATGGTACTGCAATCTTTAAAAAGTCCTTCACAAACTTTCTGTAATAACCTGCCAAACCTAGAAAACTATGAACCTCAGACACATTAGTCGGCCTCGGCCAGTTTACAATGGCTTCAATTTTACTAGGATCAACCGAAATACCCTCTTCATTAATCACATGCCCCAAAAATGAGATACTAGGGAGCCAAACTTCGCACTTGCTAAACTTAGCATACAATTTTCTATCTCTCAAAATTTGTAGGGCAAGTCTCAAATGCTTCTCATGCTCACAACTACTCTTGAAATAGATCAATATATCATCAATGAAAACAACTACAAACTTATCTAAGTATGGCCTAAAGACTCTGTTCATCAAATCCATAAATGCTGAAGGAGCATTTGTGACTCCAAAAAGCATTACCAAAAATTCATAGTAGCCATACCTTTTCTGAAAAGCAGTCTTCTCCACATCCTTAGCCTTAACTTTGAGCTGATGGTAGCCCAACCTGAGATCAATTTTAGAAAAGACTCGTGCTCCCTGTAACTGATCAAATAAATCATCAATCATCGGCAATGGATACTTATTCTTAATGGTTACCTTATTCAGTTCTCGGTAATCAATACAAAGACGAAGTGCACCATCCTTTTTCTTAACAAATAAAACTGGCGCTCCCCAAGGTGAAGTGCTCGACCTAATAAAACCCTTATCCAACAACTCTTGTAATTACACTTTCAATTCTTTAAGCTCGGCTGGGGCCATCCTATAGGGTGTTTTGGGGATAGGCTGGGTTCCCGGTATAATGTCAACAGTAAATTCTATTTCCCTATCGACTAAATGGCCAGGCAAATTATTTGGAAAGATGTCGAGGAATTCATTAACAATTGGGATATCGGCCAGTTCAATGTTTCCATTTAGATTACTTAGTACACTACACAAATAACCTTGACACCCTTTTTGGATCAACTTATAAGCCTTCATGGATGAGATCAAGTAAGGTGGGGATACTACTCATTTACCCTGAAATGTAACCTCGGCTTGGTTTGGGGATTTCAATGTGACACTTTTAGAAACACAATTAATGGATGCACGATTAACTACTAACCAATCCATTCCCAATATAACATCAAAATGAGTCATGTTCAACGGCATCAAATCAACTAGTAATTCGACATTCTCAATCACAACAACACATGCACTATGAATGGATGCAACAGTCATAGTTCTTCCAGATGGAGTAGACACAGATAACAAATAACCAAAGGATTCTAGTTCCCTATTCAACTTCTTAGCAAACTTAGCAGATACAAAGGAATGTGTAGAACCCGAATCAATCAATATATAAGCATCTTGAGAGCAAATTAGAAGGGTACTTGACACTACTGTCTCGGCACTCTGAGTGTCTCCTGGCACTAATGCAAAGACTCTACCCTGCCTCATTTGTCCTTTCCCGACATTGCCTTTCTGTGCAGAACCCGAGGTACTCTCGTTTTTCTTGCCATCATTAGCCTTTGTCTTGAAACAGTCCTTGACACAATGACCCATCTCACCGCATTCAAAACAAGCTCCAGACGCCCAACAACAACTCCAAAATGTGGCTTCCCACAACTTGAACATGTCGGCCTAGTACCACTTTCT